TAATTCATTGTAATCATATATGGAAATACCCATATATTAACATATGATATCGGTAATCTGGCCAGAATCGGTAATTCCCGAGGGCGGACGGACACCAATCATACTTCATTATAATCACATCAATAGACTGCATATACCATGTAAATATCATGGTCCCGCCATAAGCCGTTCACGAGTTATCTCACATCATATTTACCGAAGTTCGGGAAACTGGTCATAGCGGACGATCTATACATACAATCCGAATGCAATCAACACCATAGTCAAACCACTTCCTATAGATGAGATTAAGATCATAATATCGAACCGACATCAGTAGAGATACCCACAGCAGAGGGTTTTCTTACAATTACATGTATTCCTATGGGAGTTCGGTAACTTCTGACCACAGTGGACAAACTATACAACCAATTCTAATGTAATTAACATCATCGTTAGAACATGTCCAGTAGAGGAGATTAAGCCAATAATATCGAACCGACATCAGTAGTCTTCCCTACAATGGAGAATTTCCCGACTTTTACATGTAATCCTATGAAAGTTCGGTAACAAGTGACCATAGCGGCTAAACTATACATACGATCCGGACGTGTCATACATCGATGGAAAGGTCATCTCAATTAGAATACATACGGACAATAATATCGAACCGACATCAGTAGCGGTGCCTACAATGGAAGGTCTTATGACTTTTACATGTATTTCTATAAGAGTTCGGCAACAAGTGGCCATAACAACTAAACTATACATACGATCCTAATGAGTCATATATGGATGGAAAGGCCACTCTAAGGAGGACATAATAAGACAATAATACCGAGACGACATCATAGAAGTTTCTCGTAATGAGACCATTAAGTGGCATTCATATAACATTTAATGATAAGACTTGTTGCCTCACTTTTATAATGACTTCAATCAGACATCGAGTAGTTTAAGAGTTGTCTATTCAACTATATTCATCATTTATTAACAGATACATTTAATCTTAACTATTATATTATATTTAAAGCCTAATCTGTGCATTAATTAGCTCTTATAGTATTATTACAAGCTATTTCTTAACATAGCTATTCTTTTATTATTATATAAGTGTTTACTCATATTTCACTCAAGGCATAAGTGCTGCTAAGCACTGAGTGTCAGTATTTGGCATAAGCGAAAGAGAGAGTCAATGCATAAAACCCAATCTATACTTCAAGTCTCTACTCTCCAACATAGAGACCGATGTGTCATATTGATCCTCGCGGATCAAATCATATTCAAAAGTCCTTATCAAACATCATATAATATCAAGAAACCCGAGTGCTACATAGACTATATATTTTAATTAATCATCACTATATTTATATTTCATTCATAATACATATATTGTGCATTAACTTTATATTATAAAAGCTATTTCTTAACATAGCTAAACTTTTCTCATTATATAAACTTATTCTCCACACAACAGTGCTGCTAAGCACTGAGTGACAGTATTTGGCATAAGCGAAAGAGAGAGTCAATGCATAAAACCCAATCTATACTTCAAGTCTCTACTCTTCAACATAGAGACCGATGTGTCATACATAGAACCCTATCTAATAGAGTGAAGCGTGAGTCACAACCAATACCCATATCCTTAATCTAGTCTCTAGTACAGGATATAGAGACCGATACATCCAAAGGGAGGGAGAGAATCGATCGCTCAGTTTAGCACTATTGAGACTATGAGTGCAGTTCTTATGCCCATATATGGACATAACTGAACCAAAAGGCATACCTTTGCCGTTTCAACCAATCAGTGATGCTAAGCATCTCAATGCATCGCCGCAATATAGCTATGTGAGAAGAACTTCTCTCAAAAATACCTTTTGACTATGTGCAGAACTCCAATACCTTTGGCTGCACTAAATCTCTGACTTCTCTCGAGTTGCTGCAGAAAGCAAGAGGGAGAAATCACTTCTACTTGGGGTCTACTATACTCCGGTCGCAAATATTCTCTTCTCCTCTCTTCTCTAAAAACTTCTCTCTGAAAGACTTTATCATTTCACTTCTCTATGCTAGACTTTTCCGTGACACCCTGTCACAGTTTACTTATAGATACTTTTCCGTGACACCCTGTCACAGTTTACTTATAGATACTTTTCCGTGACACCTGTCACAGTTTACTTATTGATACTTTTCCGTGACACCCTGTCACAGTTTACTTATAGATACTTTTCCGAGCATCTCAATGCATCGCCGCACTATAGCTATGTGAGAAGGACTTCTCTCAAAAATACCTTTTGACTATGTGCAGAACTCCAATACCTTTGGCTGCACTAAATCTCTGACTTTTCTCGAATTGCTGCAGAAAGCAAGAGAGAGAAATCACTTCTACTTGGGGTCAACTATACTCCAGTCGCAAATATTTTACTCTCCTCTCTTCTCTAGACTTCTCTTTGAAAGACTTTATCATTTCACTTCTCTTTGAAAGACTTTATCATTTCACTTCTCTTTGAAAGACTTTATCATTTCACTTCTCTTTGAAAGACTTTATCATTTCACTTCTCTTTGAAAGACTTTATCATTTCACTTCTCTGTGAAAGACTTTAACATTTTAAACGAGATTTGTTGATATTCTCGTATGAGAATTGAGACTTGAGTTCTCTCTAAAGACTTCCATCAGTCTTTAGATAAGTAGTTATAAGACCTTATAAGGGGAGAGTGCATCTCTTGTCGAAGCTTTACACGCCATTGAAATCCAAGCTATACCTACACGATGTATTCTATCCTTATAAACAATTAATGTAAGTCAAATGTTTATTACTTATATTAATAAAACTATTTAATCAATTAAACCCGTGTGGCATTATTCAACAAAGGGTATGTACATTCTATTAATTATCCGCTTTTGCCCGCTAATAATTACAGCAACGCTTGTTCGTACTTGTCTCTCGCTTCGAGGTTAAACTATTTAACAACGAACTCGTCACCCGAAAACTGTTCATGAGGAATAGATAACGTCTTTAAATAGCTTCTTGAGACTAATTAAATTACTTAATTACTGTAAGACATAGCATTTCACTTCTCTTTGAAAGACTTTATCATTTCACTTCTCTGTGAAAGACTTTATCATTTCACTTCTCTGTGAAAGACTTTAGCATTTCACTTCTCTTTGAAAGACTTTGTCATTTCACTTCTCTGTGAAAGACTTTAGCATTTCACTTCTCTGTGAAAGTCTTTATCATTTCATCTCTATAAGCCCCTTATTAGACCTTCTATATTAATGAGATTCGTTGAGATTCTCCTATGGGAATTGAGACTTGAGTTCTCTCTGAAGACTTCTATCAGTCTTTAGATAAGTAGCCATACATCCTAATTGGGGAGAGAGTGCATCTTTTGTCGAAGCTTTACACGCCATTGAAATCCAAGCTATACCTAACCGATGTGTTCATTTCATATAACCAACTAATGTAAGTCTAATGTCTTATTATATGTCTTTTCAATAAACTCCTTTTAAATTAACATATGTGTAAGTATTATTTAATTGAATCATGTTAAACTCAAACTATAAACACTATATTTATAAACGGCCTGCACTTGCCGTTGGCCTGGTGATATGGTAAGAGCTACAACTCAAAGGTAATTGAATATAAAACGAACACCGTCATGAAAAACTGTCATCTCGCGGATGAAACACAAACTCTTCTAATATTATTTAAATTAACCAACATAATTTATGTAGAAACCCTTATTAATTAAATGAGCGCCAAACTTAAATTCTCATATTGTAATGAAATGTTAGAGGAGACAGTTTTTATACGTGACAATAGTATAATGTTTAATTAACATGAACATGGTCAAATAACAGTATTGGAATTTTATTACAAAAATGCCGTTTCAGATATATTTCATACATAGGATACGAATGCATCGAAAGTATAGTATTTATTCTTCGGCTCCTGTTTTTATATTTTGGTTACTCTTATCAATCGGCAGTGGTTTTAATTACCGGACAATACTTAACCATATATTTTACGCTAATTTTGTGAGTTTTATAATTAAAAATATTGAAACAATATCATTATAACTTGCAATACATTTTCATTTAAAGGACAATGGGATGCACTCTATCAGTGAACTTGCATTTACAGTAAAAATGCTTTCATTTCCCATAATTGTTATGCAATTATTTCTCTCGTGTTTCTCAAACTCGACAAAAATGATAGTCAACTCATTTAACGTATGAATTCAACTCTTTTTAGAGTCAATATTAAATTCATTTCATTTGCAGAAAAGATGTCCCGAGAAATATGTTTCATTTCTATCGCAAATCACATTCAATTGGTTTAATGAACTCATTTTCAAGGGATACCGAAAACCATTGACACCTAAAGACATGTGGTCTTTGGATATTCACAACACCACTGATTATATATACAGAAAATTCAATAATATTTGGTCACAATTGACAGAAAGGAAAAGTAAATCACAAAAAGATAACCAAAAGATACTTTACATCAAGATTTTGATTCCTCTGATAAAGTGTTTTTGGATGGAGTTATTGACTGTAAGTGCAGTCAAACTGATCTCCAGTTGTCTGGCATTCATTAACCCTATAGTACTCGATAGACTCATTACATTCATGAGTCCCTCTAATGCTGAGCCCCAGTGGAGGGGTTTGTTCTACGCCTCCCTTCTGTTTATTACTCCTATGTTTGAGTCTCTATTAAACAGTCAATACGAATATCGGGTTAATTTAGTGGCGATGAAAATCAGAGCTACTCTTATATCAATTATTTATAAAAAGGTAAGTTTTATAAGTTTTAAATACAGTAGAATTTTAATAAATTGTGAAAACAGAGTTTAAAGTTATCGAGTTGTGGTCGAAAGGATTTCACTTCGGGTGAAATAGTAAACCTGATGTCTGTCGACATTCAACGCATACTAGACTTTATAGTGATCGCAAACCTAGTTTGGTCGGCGCCCTTTCAGATCACAATTGCTTTAATCCTATTGTGGCAACAATTAGGTGTCGCAACTCTCGCCGGTCTCATATTTTTGATCATTTTAATGCCATTCAATGGATATATGGCTAATAAAGTGAGGAAATATCAAGTGATTCAAATGGAGGTCAAGGATCAGAGGGTTAAACTCATGAGCGAAATATTAAACGGTATAAAAGTATTGAAATTGTATGCCTGGGAGAAGGCGTTCAGAGACCAAGTGGTCAGCGCCAGGGATAAGGAGGTGAATGCGCTGAACAAAGTTGCCATATATGAGGGCGCAATGATATTCACGTTTGTATCAGCTCACTTCTTCGTATGTGTTTCAGTCGAACCTTTCAATTAAATTTACTTATAATTTGTTTTAATATTTGCAACAAAAGGTCGGTTTATTCAGTTTTATGACATTTGTCTTAATGTCTTCCGAGAATATTCTGGATCCAAACAAAGCTTTTGTTTCGTTGTCTTTGTTTAATATAATGAGTAATAATTTAACTAAATTTAAATTAAATAAAAATGATGTGATTTATTGTGTATTTCTAGGACTTCCCCTCGGATTTACTCCAATATTATTATCAAAGGGCGCTCTGGTATTAGACAACATTCATATCAATTGCTTATAAATAGATACTATTATTTCAATCTAGTGTTTGGTATCCCTTAACAGAATCGATGACTTCATGAATGCCAACACAATTGACAGCAACACTATTTATAAAGATAAATATACGACTAAATCAATAATCCTTAAGAATTCAACATTTTCTTGGAATAAAGAGTCCGGTTCTCCGGTTCTGAAGAATATATCGCTGGAAGTGTTTGAACCGAAATTAGTGGCTGTCGTGGGTTTAGTGGGCGCCGGGAAGTCATCGCTTTTATCGGCACTTTTGGGTGAATTGGAAATTCTTGAGGGANCTTTTATCGGCACTTTTGGGTGAATTGGAAATTCTTGAGGGAAAGGCTTGTGTTAAGGGAAGTGTTGCTTATGTACCACAAGAGGCATGGATTCAGAATAAGACACTCAAAGAGAATATTGTATTCACTAATGAATTGAATGATGAATACTATGAACGAGTGCTCGAATCGTGTGCTTTAGTGCCAGACTTGGCTGTCCTTCCGGACAGAGATCTGACAGAAATCGGGGAAAAAGGTATTAATTTATCCGGCGGTCAGAAACAGAGGGTTTCAATGGCGAGGGCTGTCTATTCCAACCGAGATATCTATTTACTCGACGATCCGTTGAGGTATTCATTGTTATGTAATTGAAACAATTGTCTGATAATTGTATTGACTGATAATTGGATTTGTATAGCGCTGTGGACACACATGTGGGCAAACATTTGTTTGAAAAAACTATTGGAAGAAACGGTTTATTAAAAGACAAGATAAGGATTTTGGTAACAAATTGTGTCTCTATTTTGCCAAATGTGGACCAAATTGTGGTCATAAAGAATGGATACTTCTCTGAATCGGGAACCTTTGAAGAGTTGATTTCAAAAAATGGTTATTTCGCCGAATTTGTGACCGAATATTTGATGGAAGAGTCGGACAATGAACTCGAAAATGGAGACAAAGAAACTATTAATGAATTGAGAGAACGAATGAAACCTATGATTGAAAAATCGATTGAAGAATCCATTTGTCAATCGATTGGCGGATCCTTTAGGTCTGGATATGGAAGCGATGGCATCAGGAAAAGAGTCTCAAAGAAAACATCGAGTCTTTTAAGTGAAAAAACTTTAAATAATATGAGAAATGAAAATAATATTAAACAAAAATCAATGATAAAAACAAGTGGAAAGTTAACCGAAACCGAGAGCTCAGAGACGAGTTCTGTCGGACTTAAAGTATACAAAAAATATATTTATTTAATTGGTTTGTGGTTTTGTGCTGTGATTACTGTGTCATCCGTCGCCTCAACAATGGCTCAGATATTATCGGGCCTTTGGCTGAGCGAGTGGTCCGACGACTCTCTGGACGCCAATAAAATAAATGACACAAATCTTCGTTACGTAAGGCTTGGAGTTTACGCCGGAATCGGTGTCTTTGACACTGTTTTCAATTTAATCGCAAACATATGCGTGAGTTTGGGATGTATTAGAGCTGCGAAACACTTGCATAACATTATGTTAGACCGGATATTAAGAGCGCCAATACTTTTCTTCGGTAAGTGTTTGTAATGACTGTTCACTGAATTGTTGTTTAATATATCTGTGACTTCAGACACGACACCGATTGGAAGAATCCTGAATCGGTTCAGTCGAGACATGGATTCGGCAGATGTTTCACTTGTGTTCAGTCTTCGGATGACAATATCACTGTTTTTAAGGACATTTGTCGCCGTATTTATGATTAGTTTGGAGACGCCTATCATATTGACGGCAATCCTTCCCTTGTCTTGCATTTATTATTTCATTCAAAAGATATATATTCGGAGCTCTCGTCAACTCAAACGCATTGAGTCGACCACTCGTTCCCCTATTTATAGTCATTTCAGTAAAACAGTCAGCGGTTCCACAAGTATTAGAGCGTATGGAGTGTCCGATCAGTTCATACAGGAGTCCAATAGACGGGTCGATGAAAATCATATGTGTTATTATCCAAGTTTTACAGCCGCGCGATGGCTGGCCATTAGACTTGAATTCTTGGGCTATTGTATAGTATTCTTGTCGGCAGTATTTGCTGTGTTTTATCGATACAAACTAAGTCCAGGTATTGCGGGTCTGGCTATTAGTTATTCACTTAATATAACGAGTGTTTTGACATCATTTATGAAATCGGCGTCAGATCTCGAAACTAATATCGTTTCGGTTGAGAGATGTCTTGAATACACAGAAACTCCGACAGAAGTAATTAATACTTAAATATTTTATAGCCATATATTTAAATAAATAATTACATGTATTTTAAATTTGATTGATAGGCCGAGGGGTACGACGAGTTGACTAAACTTTCGCCCGATTGGCCCGAAAGGGGAGAAATAAAGTTCATTGAATACAGCACAAGATATAGAGAAGGATTGGATTTAGTGCTCAAAAAGATTACATTAGAAGTTCGGCCCAAAGAGAAGGTGGGAATAGTCGGCAGAACGGGTGCCGGAAAGTCATCGCTAACTCTGGCAAAACGCATTGAGTCGACCACTCGTTCCCCTATTTATAGTCATTTCAGTGAAACAGTTAGCGGTTCCACAAGTATTAGAGCGTATGGAGTGTCCGATCAGTTCATACAGGAGTCCAATAGACGGGTCGATGCAAACCATATGTGTTATTATCCAAGCTTTACAGCCGCGCGATGGCTGGCCATTAGACTTGAATTCTTGGGCTATTGTATAGTATTCTTGTCGGCAGTATTTGCTGTGTTTTATCGATACAAACTAAGTCCAGGTATTGCGGGTCTGGCTATTA